CAGCTCTCCCTGTCATCTGCCTTGAGAAAAATGAAGTACTGTGAATTCACAGGAGGCTGCCAGATAGTTTGAGCTGCCCTCTGGAGTGAAGATTGTCACTTCACTCAGTAGTTCAGTTCACTCAGTAGTATTTATTGGCTATTACTGGATTGTCACAGTTAATATATATGTATTTTAAAGGTTTTATTGGGGAATTGGGGGAGGGGGACAACGTTGGGGAATCGGGGAAAGGGAACAGACAAGTTGCTGTCCTTTTGTTTTTCAGTCTAGTTGTGGAGGACGTTGCTTCACTGGCCCATGTTGGTATTATCATTGCGCTCTTCCCGGGCAAGGCAGACCAGTCGCCGGCCACTGGACGGCCACTCATGGCGGCTCTTGGCAGCTCATGCTGGCTGCCGGCCGCCCACGGTAGCTTACGGGAGCCCACTGCAGCCCCACTGCAGCCTACGCCATGGCCGGCGACTCACGGCAGCCCAGCTCCAGGTCGAGCTGTTGTTCACCATCTTAGCTGTAAAGGGTGCAGCGTCACTAGCCCTAATGTAGGATCTGAACTGGGGCCCTGCTGCCTGGAGCTGGCATCACAAGCCAACTCTTAACTACCGCGCCACTTGACCGGCCCTGTCACAGTCAATATTGATTGACTGCTAGGTTTGTGGGGAGGCAGAGATGATTATTGCTATTCCCTCATCGCTGGTCTTGATCCCTGGTCCCTGAAAAGCCATGGCCAGAATCTCCTAAGGGATTTGGTGTAGACCCTGGCAGGCAGGGTAACCATCTCCGTAGTACACTGTCAGCCATGTGCCTTGGCGTCACAGAAGCCCATTGGCAGAGAGACATGTGGGCATTGACCAGGGACTCATCTGTGCTGCCCAGAGACATGGAAGTCTCTCCTTTCTCCCATAATGGGAACTCCAGACGAGGAAAGAATTTCCCCACCCAGCTCTGTAAGCCCTTGGAGCACATTTTTATGGAATTCTTCTTGCCTCCAGGGGCCTCACCCTAGCCTTGGAATTTTTTGTTTGTTTAGTTTTTTTCTGTTTGCTGTTTTATTCAGTCTACTTCCAGCCTTCACTGTCTTTGAAATTCTCATTGTGTTTTTATATATACCAGAATTTTGTTCCCTAGTTTGTCCCCTGCAAATGTCACCACATCCAACTGTTAGTTGATGGTCACCATCATAAGCCACTCTGACAAAAGAGTGATGATCCCAGACTTTGACTGCGGGTGTCTGCATTTTGAGGAGTGACTAGCCTCCCTGGAAGGGACACAGCTTCTCGGTCAGCCTGGGGCCGTGGGTCAGGGGACTGAGGAGAGCCTGGCTGGTGACCTGGCACTTCTACTTGAGGCCCTGTTGGGGGCTCTGGGGAGGTCCCTGCTCTCTGTGTTGTTTGTCTGTTGCTGGCTTTCCTCCTCTCAGGGTGCTCGTTGCACATGTGCTGCGGAGATGGTCCCCCAGCCGCCAGGGTCTACACCAACTCCCTAAGGAGATTTTGGCTGTGGCTTTTCAGGGATCAGGGATCAAGACCAGCAATGAGGGAATAGCAACAATCACCTCTCTCTTCCCCCAAATCTAGCAGGGCTCAACAGTTGCAAATGGCAAAAGCACACACTGCTGTAGATTACGAATGGCCACATTGGCTCACGCAGCTGGGAAGTCCACAGGTTAAAGACTTCAGGCACAGGTGGACCAGAGATTCAAAAGGATGTTCTGTCTTGCTCCTCCTCCTGTTGGCTCCTTGCTTCTGCGTCGACATTAGCCTTAGGTAAACCCTGGCCCTGTGGTGGCTTCCAGCAGCTTAGCAACCCTGCTGGTTTACCAGAAGTTTCAGGGCCATCATCCAGAGAGGTCTCTAGGTGGTCCAAGGCTGGATGGTCAGCCTGCCTCTGACCTGTGCGTGTGGCTAGAGGCCCACATCAGGGCCTGTTCCTGGCCACTTCCCCCAGGGAAGACCGAGGCTCTTCCCAAGACAAGAGGATATGGATGTTGCACAGGCAGAAACAACAGATTCCTTTCCAGGAAATACTCTGGCTTAAAGAACCTTCCATAGGCCTGGGACTAACTGTAAAAAAGCAAGTGCCCCTTTCGTACTGAATAGACTGGCTTTTGACCTGGCGTCTCTCGAGTGTCCCCAGGGGTCTTTTGGAAGGCCTGACAGAAATGTGGATTGCCCACTGTGAGACTTCCCCAGACCGCCTGATTTGTTCCGTTTCTTTGCTTGTTGGCTGGATTTTATCAACTCAGCATGGTTCTAGTGGTTATCTCATGTGCATCAGAAACCCTGATTCTTATAATGAATATTAATATAGTTTCAAAACAGGCTTTTCAGGGTGGGTTGGAGTCGCGCGGTGTGATTGGGGTTGTGGGGGTTAGGAGCCCCTGGTCACCTCATCCAGGGAAATCAGTAGGTGTCCTGTGGCTTCTGTTCCAGCACTTTGGTAGGTGGAGAAAGATTTGTTTGCCTTGAATAGTAAATCCCAACTTGAAGTCATTTTGCTCTCTCCATTCAAAAATATTAAAGCTGAAACAGAATTGTACAAACTCAACATGCTTCATTTACCACTTATGGTAAAATAGTTCTAAGTAATACCTGATAACAGACATAGATTTCAAAAGGCATTTCTAGTTACTGATATTCTAATGGCATTTGTCCCTTCATTTGTCAGTATATATTTTATGAAAATGAGTCTTCCCACCTTTTTTTTTTTTTTTTTTTTTGGTCTATAACAAAGTTAATTTTTGTTTCTTGTTTTGACAATGTCCCTCTGCCTCTGTCCTCCCCATATCTGGCCTGGAAGTTCTTAAAAAATGATTAGATGTTTGTGAATTGACCACATTTCCCCAGGCTTGAGTGAAGAGCCCAGAAGGTAACAAATTATCCTCTAGTTGCTTTTGTATGACAGTTAGTTCAGGCTTAGCAAGTTAGAGACAGAACAAAACTGGCAAATTGAGAAGGAAAGTTCGGAAAGTGGAACATGCAAACTATTCAAAGGACAGAACAAAACAAAACTCAGATTCTAGAAATGACACAAGATGTGTACTTGAGGATGGTGTGTGTTCGGGGCTGGCTTTTCAGGGGGAACATCTGGCAGAGTTTAAGTGTTTACTGCCCAAACTTGAGGTTGAGGAGGAGACATTTTAAAATCGGAAAAGGAGGTCTGAGGGCCCCAGGGACAAATGCCACAGAGCCACAGAGGTCCACGTCTTCAGTTAGAGGAGCCTGGCAAAGCCGCGTACCCAGGCTGACACTGCAGTGGCCTTGCAGCCCACTCACACGTCACCGGGTTCTCTAACGGCCTGAAGTAGAAGTTTCGTTCTGTAGAGTCTCTGATGAGGCCCGTCACCCAGTTGGCCTTGAGAATAGTGTCTTAGAGGTGCCTTTGGTGTTTTTTCTCCTGTGAGGAATTTCTTATCTCCAGATCTTGACCGTCTTACCGTTTGTTAGTCCTGAAAGCAGCCCTTGTCTATAGCTTTAAGAAAATGGCAGGCAGCCAGTCAAATTATACAGACTTTATATATTTTTTCCTGACAAATATTTTATTAGCGTTTTCCTTTTTCTCAAAGCCTAACGATTTCTAACTACTAACAGATGTCTTTGCAAGTTGAGCCTGTTAGAAGAAGCCCCTGCCTTGGTCTGTATCCCCTGTGTCTAAGTTGTTTGGACTTCCTGTCCCACCCTGTATCTGGGAAGGCAGAGGCATCCCAACCCTCAGTGACAGGAATTGCTGCCTTTTCTTTGCCATCAAAGACCTGGGAGGCTCCGTGGGTGCCCTGGCCAGGCCTCATGGTCTTTCCCTGGCCCCTTCCTGGGAGACACCAGGTCCAGTGGGTCTGGTCCACCCCTCAAGGTGGCAGGACTGAAGGAGGGTCAGCAGAGCCCAGCACATCATTTCTCCCTCAGGAAACTGTTTTTTATTTTATTTATTTATTTATTTATTTATTACATGAAAATTTACCAAACTATATACTTCAAATATATGCAGTTTGCTGCATGCTAATTATATATCAAAAATTCTAAAAAAAGTTGACATGCTAATTTTTTTGCCCTATCACCATCAGAAAATAAACAATTTCATTGTCTCCAGGCCTGGCAAAATTGTGAGGAAACTGTCTTCCCTATCAGTGGAAGAGTGAATTGGCATGTCTTTTTGTTGTGGGCCAACCGAATAGCGCCCCCACCCCCCCCCACCCCCTACTGAAAGACCTTTTAAGTTTTCTTTCTTACAGAAATGTTAAGTCTCCTCCCTAGTTTCTTAGTCCCTTAGCCCTTGGCATTGATTACTCTTCTAATCAGTTTCTGAAACCTAGACTAAAAATTGCCCCTAGACCGAATCACAGAATATCTCGCACCCACCCTAGCTTTATTTTATTTTATTTTTTTTTCTTAGCTGAGCCATCCTGCTACCTATTGGCAGCTTAGTCACCGGGCATCAAACCGCTGTTGCTCAGAGCTCAAACTCTTGAGCGAGCTCAAACTCAACTGAGCCACTTGGCCAGCCCCCAACCTGGCTTTAGATAATTACTTAAAACCTGTGACTTCCCAACATTCCCCAAGTCATTCTGGTCCTAACTCTTGGGTAATCCCATCCCAGGGACTAAATAGATTTAAACATTTCCTCAGGCCAGTATACTTGTTGATTGTGAAGCCTAATGTTGTTTCCAAACCCTTAGCCACCCTACACCAATAGCTTTGAGCTCTGCTCTTTAAGAAATTCATTACCGCATTTCCCCATATACAAGACGCACCCCCCTTCGAAAAACTCTGGGTCCAAAAACTGGGTGCGTCCTACACAATAGCCGTAGGTTTTTTACTTGCATTTCCTGCTTTTTTCGCGATTATTTTTTTGGGGGGAGGCGCTCATACAACCACTGTATAAGATGCACCCAGCTCCCAGACCCCAAACCTTTCAAAAAAGGGTGTGTCTCATACACAGGGAAACACAGCAATTAAAATCTATTTTTCCTCATTTAGGGGCCTTGGGGATATAGAGGGCATCCCAGCAAGATTGCCAGTCACAACCCAAGAAGCCAACACGGTCTTCCAGGCGGATCTCGAGACCCCTTCCTCTCATCTAAGATGAGGCAGGGCGAGAGTTTCGTGAGCCCTTGATAGGTAAGGACAGCTCAGTGGCCCTGCTCAGCAGGAAGCAGACACAGAAAAAAAGACCTCCTGTCCCTCATTTTCCCATAAATGAGGGGATCACATCTCTCAAGGGGAAAACAAGGCAGGCAATTAGAGGCAGGCATTGGGTCTCTGCATTCCTGCAGGTTCCACAGAATTCACTGCCCCAGGAAACTGTTTTTTAAAAATTATATTCTCAACCATTGAAACCTTTATACCAGGACTGTTGCTCTCATGCTTAATTGAAGCTGCTTCCTGACCTGGAGGAAGGTGGCCCAGGGTCTCTTTAGGGACAGATCCCAGCTCCACCTGCTTCTCCGAGAAGTGGAACAGTCGTACCTGCCGTGCACCAAATGGAATGACAAATGGAAGTGCCTGGTGGTCCTGGGCTTTAAGTTCATTTGAATGTAACTACTGACTTTGACACGTATTTGCACTTTAAGCTGGGAGATGCTCATTAAAAATCCAAGTGTTCTTTTTTCCTGTTCGAGGCCCGTCCCCTCTCTGCCAGCCGTGAATGTTTCTGTGAATGAAAACCCTAATTAAATAAAATGTGCAGGTCACCATGCAAGTTTTTATCCCTGGTCCTTTGACAGGCTTTAGAGAATTTATGAGAGCTGCCAAATAGTGGAGAGGCAGAGTCTGACTGCTCTCAGTGGAAGCCCTGTTCTGTGCAGGTGGAACTCTTGTCCTATTGTATGTAGGGCTGACAGAAGGCCTCCCTGGCCCAGAGCACATGTATTGATTGTCACCAGGATGACATTTTATGAGCTGTCTCTTTCTTATTGGTAGGCTATGTGTGGTGAGTGATCACTGATGGCATTTCCTGCGGCATCCCCCACTCCCTACACCTTTTGTTGACTTATTGTTTTGATGTGCCCATTGCCTGTCTGAGGCTTTAGGTGAATGTCGGAGGCATTCATTATTTCTCTAGCAGAAGCAGCAGAGAGTAAGGCCCACTGCAAGGGGAGGGAGGAGGGTTCTAGCCTGGTGACCTTAGTCTGCTCCAGGTCTCAGGCTCCTCGTCTGTACTAGGGGAAGAAGAATCTTCACCCAGAAGGTTTCCATGATCATTGAGACAGCCTGGCCTGAGAAGCCCAGCAGGCAGCTGGGGAAAGGGCAGAGGTGGTGGAGGAGCTTCGCATCAGCCCAGCTGTGCTCCTGCGTCTTGGCAGTCCCTGGGGCCTTCTGGGCCTGTTTCCTCATGTTCTAGATGAGGGGCAACCTTCCGTCCCTGCAGGGCTCCTCAGCTTTGAAGGTCATACTGAGGGTTGTTTTGGGTGAAGGTCCTTTACGTGCCTCTCTCTGCAGCCCCCAGCAGCCCGTTGAGCTGGTTGTTCCGACTTTGCACGTTTAGATCCCTTGTGCTCACCTCCATCCCCTGCCAGACTATGGTCTTCCTGAGGAAAGGGACATGGCTTTTTTTTTTTTTAATCCATTTCATACATTTATTCAACAGAGTTTATATTCATGTCAGGTACAGTGCTGGGTGCTCATTGGGGAATAAGGCTAAGGAAGGTCCCCAGACTTGTGGATCAGAGTCCATTGTCGGAGATGTGGATCTCACTCTAGCTCAGTAAGTGTTTCTTTTCTGGAGAGGGACTAGATGTGTTTGTGGCATAGGACAGGATGAACCAGTTAATGCATAACCCTGAGCCTCGGTTTCTTCCAATGGAAATGTGGGGATTGGGCTAGTTCTATAAGGTGTATTATACAACTCGGGTCAGATGCTGGAGACTTCTGAAAGCTGTGGAGGGCCTTAGCAGCGCTTTAGAAGAGTAGTCGGGAGTCTTTGTAAAAATCCAGGAGAAAAGCGGGGGCTCACGGAGAAGCCTCTGGGCAGTTAGAAGCACATGGACCAAAGCCAGATGTTAAATAATTTTAAAGGTGTTGGTAGGTGTTTTTGGGTTAAGGTAGACCTGAAATGAGAGGCTTTCTTGTTTTGAAAGATAATTTAAAATCTGTCAGGACCAGTCTCCCCCAGTGTTATGAATCTTCTCTAACTGGCTTTGCCATGCTGTGAAAATAAGACCCATAGAAGAGCCATTCCAATGGGAGCATTTTGAAAATAGAACAAAAAGAGAAAATAGTCATAATGTGTGCTTCCTTTTTTCCAAAGGCTTAAATTTGAGTTTAAATTTTATTCAATATTAACTGTAATATTGATCTTATCTTAGTTTTGAAAGAAAGATGGAATCTCTTTCACCCTAGAGAGGCTGGAGTATGCCCATTTATTGCCTCCCTGACATACCTGCTGTTTATAAAATGCATGCATTGGAGCCTCTTGCTGTCTCAGGGGAGCTCATGGTACAGTGAGTGTTTTTCTTTCTCTAGGTCATGGCTTCCGACTTCTCAGACCTGCAGCTACAGCAGAGGAAATGAGTGTCCGGGATCTTGCTCCAGATCTGTTACGGAGACTAAGCCTTCACAGGGTGCAAACTTGCCCGGGACAGAAAAGTTTCTCTCTTTGAAGGGCTTTACATTTGTAACAAAGACAATAAAGATGACGACTTCATCTATTAGAAGGCAAATGAAAAACATTGTAAACAATTACTCAGAAGCCGAAATAAAAGTCCGGGAAGCCACCTCCAATGACCCGTGGGGCCCGTCCAGCTCCCTGATGACGGAGATCGCGGACCTGACCTACAATGTCGTCGCCTTCTCGGAGATCATGAGCATGGTGTGGAAGCGACTCAACGACCATGGCAAGAACTGGCGGCACGTGTACAAGGCACTGACGCTGCTGGACTACCTCAGCAAGACGGGCTCTGAGCGCGTGGCCCAGCAGTGCCGAGAGAATATCTTCGCCATCCAGACCCTGAAGGACTTCCAGTACATCGACCGCGACGGCAAGGACCAGGGCGTCAACGTGCGCGAGAAGTCAAAGCAGCTGGTGGCCCTGCTCAAGGATGAGGAGCGGCTGAAGGCTGAGAGGGTCCAGGCTCTCAAAACCAAAGAGCGCATGGCCCAGGTCGCCACCGGCATGGGCAGCAACCAGATCTCCTTCGGTCGTGGCTCCAGCCAGCCCAACCTCTCCACCAGCTACTCGGAGCAGGAGTATGGCAAGGCCGGGGGATCGCCAGCCTCCTACCATGGTTGTGAGTAGTGGAAGCGCCCCCCCTCCCCATTTGCCAGAGTGTGCTGGCTGCAGACCCAGTAGCGCTGGGCCACAGGTAGGGTGGGTGCCCTTGGGCTGAGTGAGATCTTGCATCTGTCCTTTGTTCTCAGCTTCTGGCAGCCCAGACAACAATGCCCTTGGTCTGTATCAAGTTGCTGGTTACAAAGGGGCTTTCAGCCCTTTGGCTGCCCTGGCTTGGGGGTCTCGAGACCCTCTGCTGCTCTGTGGTCTGATTATGTACATCTGGGCAGGACGGGCCCTCGGGGTGAGACGGGCATAGAGACAGGTGTCTCCTGTTTCCTCCGTGGGGAAGGGCTTTAGCAGAGGGATTGGTTTGCAGCACAAGCAGTGTATTTGGTGGCTAGGAGGAAACAAATGCTCTTTCGGGGCAATCTTGTTGCTTTAATTTCATATCAGATGATTTTCTAATAATTGGGCTGCAGGTTTCCTAAGTGGTCCAGTCCACTGTCTCCTTCAGCATCTCAGGGCCTGAGAGGGTATGTCTGTCTCACTGAAGGAGGGAGGAGGCAAGGCCTCTGCAGGTGTTGGCGTGGGCAAGGCCTCCTTTCCCAGCATGTGGACCAGAGTTCTTGGTGGTTTGGTTGCATGGCTGGGTCTGTGCTGGATAGGACTGCTCTGTTTTCTTGTTCTGCAGATTGGATTACGCTGGGTCTTTGCTCAGTGTTCAGAAGAGATTTCAGGGAACAGATGTAGGGTTCCGGGCCTGACAGAAGCTGGTATCTCTGAGCCATGTTGGCATCTGGTTTCTCATTGAAAGTGGTCCTAGGAATGGAGCCCTCCTGCCTCACAGTGCGGTGTTGAGACAGGTGGTCCTGGTGGCCTGTGGTGTGGGCTGGGGTGGGACATGCAAAACTGCTGTCTTCTGTCCATAAAAATGAAAGTGCAGGTCCCCATACCCTTTCTTTTTGGGATCAGTAACACTATGTTAGCGTAACAGAAAATTACTTTTTTCAGGAAGTTGTTTGTAGTTTGACAAACCCGTCAACCTTTGCTTACTGAGGGTTCCATGACCAGACCACTTCCTAACATTTCCTGCTTTTGCAGGTTTCAGTTTGACAGTACAGGCACCAGCAGCATTTTGAGAAATGGGAGATTTACATAGTCAAGTCAGACTTCCTATCTCTAGGGATTGTAAATTATTATCAAGCTTAGAGAGGTTAGCGTTTTCTCATCCCATTTCTAGTTATTGTCGCTTCCTCCCTTAGTTTGAACTGCTCTGCTTAGGCAAAAGTTGTGACCTTTGTGAGAGCACTTGGGGAAAAAAAATGTAACCTAAAGCTCCAGAGGTCTTCCTTCAGGCTAGGGTGCACCCCCCCAAAATGAAGATTGCCCTCTAAGAAGTGAAGTTGCTAGTTTCCCTCAAGGAGGCGCTCTCCATCCCCCCAGAAAGGCACTTGTGGGTTGCGTGGGTCTCCAGTCTGGTGGGCCTGCTCCCAGGGAAGTGCTGGGGCTGTGCTACATGGCCACAGGGAGCTGCTGCCCTCTCTACCTGCCGTTTGCAGTCATTGTTCTCAAGGAGCCAGAGGATACAAAGCGAGGAGTCGAAATAATACCCCATTGCAGCAAAGTCTGTGGGATGTTCCAGGTGCAGGGGGAGGCCTTGGGGTGCAGGAGTTCTGGGGGTCTGGATCAGCTCCCTAGTCATAGGTCCTGCCCGCCTTGTACTGGGTTGACCGACACTGCCGTGGCCCCAACTCTAATAGTTGCTGGTCCCCTCAGACCTGAGCTTGAGCTACATGTTCAGGGTCAGACTGTGGTCAGCAGGCTATTCACTGCCTCCGCTCATGTCTGGCATCGGCCTTGGCTGGAACCCTTGCTGCTCCCTCTCCCTCTAATGGCATGTCTCTCTCTGTGTATATGTGTGTATGTGTCCTTCCTTGCCCGACAGCACCCGAGGCCTCGCTGTGCCCCCAGCACCGCACAGGGGCCCCGCTGGGTCAGAGTGAGGAGCTGCAGCCACTGAGCCAGCGTCACCCCTTCCTGCCGCACCTGGGGCTGGCCTCCCGCCCAAATGGTGACTGGCCCCAGCCCTGCCTCACTTGTGACCGCGCAGCCCGAGGTGGGACGGCGGTTTGCTTTTCTCCTTCCTAGAAATGCTGGGCAGCTTGCTGGGGGTGTGCTTGTCATAGCAGTACAGCCAACTCTCTCCCTGTCTCCTCTGGGCCTCATGGTCCAGCCTCCAGTGGACCCAGGGCCCTTTCTTGCTCTCTCCTTAGGAGCTCATGTCCTGGCCACACTCCCCTCACCATCCCACATTACTTGCTAGAAGCTCTGCTGAAGGCACGATAGGGGAGCTGCTATTTGGGTCAGGCATGGGTGGTTTCTGTGCTCTCCTTGCATCCCCACACCCTGGAAAATTGGAGGGGGCTCTGCTGTCTGCCAGACCACTTGGCTTGTTGAGCCAGAAGTGTGTGGTTTAAATCTCACAATGCCGGGCCACCCCGAGAGCCTCGGTGGATAGTTGTTGGAAGTCATCATCCTTGATGCAGTGATATGTGCCTTGCTGAGGACAAAATGGGATTGTTTTTGCTTCTCAATTAACTGTTGTCCTTCTGAAATCCCCATTGCCATGGTAAACAGAGAGTTAGCTGTACTGTCATTTCTAGGTCACAGTGTTTGAAGATACCTAATTCAATGGGTAACTAAAAATGGGGCTTCTCTTTTGACTAATTAATAATGTATCCTGGTCAGAGTCTACAACTGTTGCAGGTTAACTGAAAACAGATTTCACTGTTGCCTACAAGAAAATGCTCTCAATTGAATTTACCTTTGGTTTTAAGTGGGGCCCTGTTACTTAGAAGAAAGCCATTACTAGAAGGGGCCGATGAAGAGCCTTGGTGTGGCTCCCCGATAAGGTGGCCAGCCTTTACCCAGCCCTGGAAACAGTTACTGTTCATTTATGTCTCATCAATATTACAGCTTGTTTGACGTGGACGTTTGCTGATCACTATATTTAGCTCTGGTATATTTTCCTTTGTGTTCCCATCTTTTCCTCACAGTTTATACAAGAGTTTGTAGGCAGGACCAGCTTTGCAATGTAGGGAATGCAAAAAGGTCAAAGTGTGGTTTCAAGGAGCTCCCAAATGCACTGAATTACTTGCTCGTTTCCCCCACCAGATTTCGGGGACCATTCCCGGCAGGTTCTCAGTACGCCCCAGAACTCCAGCAGCTCCCTCTTTGTGTTTCCCAGGTTGTACGAATTCAGTAACTAGTAAGGTCTTTCCTGAGCCTGGTTAAGTTTGTGTTCACCTGCACTCAGGTTCTGCTCGGACATTTGCATATTAAAATCAGGCTGCTGTGTTTCAGCCACCCTTCTACTTCCTCCCACTGTGGCCAGGACCGGCCACTCTGCTCCCCCAGGCCAGTCCCCTCCACTTGGGGCCTCCCCTGAACATCTGGCAAGTTTCTCAAGGTGTTCAGCCCTTGTGGATTTCTCTTCTTGAGCTCTGGTAGAAATAAAGGGTAAAAATGAGTTGGGTTTTTTTGGGGTTTTTTGTTTTTTTTGGACAATTTCTCATGCCCTCAATGAGTGTTGTGTCATGTTTTCATCCTTTAAACATTTAGTGTGTGCATTCTTTTCCATATTTCACACTCTCCCCATGATGGGGGGCCAGGACCCCATCCAATGTCTGCTTTCTGTTCTCCCCTAGCCCCTAACAAAGTGCTGAGTGTGAGGTAAATGCTTGATCTGTGCACATCAGTGGATTTGCTTTGAACATACTGGCTTGGAATCCAACAGAGAAGTCAGGCTGATGCCAGCTATCCAGAAATGGTCTCGTGAAATGCAGGCTGTGATTCAGGGGAGACATTGATGAGGGGCAAATCTAGGACCTCAGACCCCGCAGTGGAGGCCTGGTGGGCGTCGGTGCAGCCTCAGGGCCGGGGCAGGGGAGGCCAGCTGCGGAGAAGGCCCTTCTGCAGGAGAGCCAGTGCTGCGGGGAGGCTCTGGTGCTTTAGCTGCTGTTCTGACCCGCAGTCATCACGGTGAAGTTTGAGGAGAGCGTCCTTTTTCATACCACATCCGTTCATGCTCCCTGTGCCTCCTCCCTCCCTCTCACCTCCCACATACATCTGCAGATCTGACCTTGGAAACTTCTCAAATGCTGTCCATCTCTAGTTCCATGGCCTTGAATCAATGCCTGCTTTCTGATTTGGTTTCCTTGTTAGCCTCCCCATTCTTATGCACGCTCCAGCTTTATAAGTGATGCCCTGATCCTGGGCCTCAGAAAGCTCCTTTGGATCCCAGGGATCCCTACAGAGTCCAGCCCAGAGCTTTGACACGGCAGACAGCTCCCTTCCCTGGTGGTCCTTGGCTGCCCTCTGCCAGCTCCGGCCTGCTGAGCTCCGCCTTGGGCACCGCTCTGAGTGAAGCCTGCCCCAGCTGCACTCTGGCTCCCATGTTCCCTCGTTCATTTAACAAGCGTGTATGAGTTCTCATCATGTGTCAGGCACTGTGCTAAGCACAAAGCAGCGCCCCATCACTGTTAATGGGAAGAGAGACAATAAATACAAGACATTATACAGCATGTTACGTGACAGTGCTCTAAAAAACAGCAGACATAGCCCAAAACAACCCAGCTGTGTATGAGGAGTAGGGAAGGTGGTCTCAGTGTTAAGGAGGGCGTGAGAACAAGCCTGTGAGAAACTGATATTGGAGCAGGATTGGAGAAGGAGAAGGGGAGGGGAGGGAATGGGAGGGAGCTGTGTGAAGGTCTGGAAGAGTGTTTCAGGCAGAGGGTGGGAGCAGCAGTGCAAAGGCCCTGAGGTGGGACTGTGCTTAGGGTGTTTTCCGAACAGGAAGGGGCCAGGAAGGCGGCCAGTGAGGCTGGAGCAGTGTGAGGGAGAGTGCGTGGCAGAGGGGGGGCCTGAAGAAGGTGTAGGGCTGCTTCTCAAACCGACTTTGACAGGGAGCGGTATTTCCATTCCCAGGCCGTCTCAGACTGATACTTTTTGTTTCAGCGTTTGGATTTTGTAGCAATGTCAAATTGCTATAAAAGTTTGTAAATACTTGATCTCACTGCACTTAACTTGTTGTGGACCACATGCTAAGTAGAGTGGTGTAGGGCCTTCGGTTCATTGGCCTTTACTCTGTGAGCTAGGGAGGCAGAAGAAGGGTTTGGAACCCAGGAGGGATTTGGTCCAATTTAAGGATGAGAAGGCTCAGGAGGATCTTGTGGCTGTGTAAGAGGCAAGAGGGGCCCAGGGAGACCAGTGAGGAGATGAATGCCCTTATCTAGTGGGAGATGCTGTTCCTGGACCTGAGGATGGGGCAGTGGGGGTCTGTGCATATTGTAAAGGAGATCAACAGGACTCATTGGGGGGCCTGGACCGGGTGAGAGAAGTGGAAGACAGCTCTGACGACTACCAGTTGAGCAACTGGGAAAAGGAGCTGCCGTCACCTGATGTAAGGGTGGCTGTGAGTGGAACAGGTTTGAGCAGAGGTGGGGTTCTGAGCGGGACATGCCTTCAGCACTTCGGCCTCACCTGGCACTCATGTTCACGGTTTCGTTGTCACTGGCGTACTGGCTGCCCGCCCCACTGGGGCAGGGTCCTTGGCTCACCTTTCTTGGCTGCCTCACGTGATCCTGGCATGAAGTTGGTGCATAGGACAGCTGTGTGCAGGCAAACTGTGGGGCCCAGAGGAGTCTTCTAGGGCTGAGGGGTTGGAGGTTTGTCAGAGCCGTGCAGCAAGGGCAGCCTGCCAGGCTGGAGTGGGGTGTGAGCAGCCTGCCTTTCCTCCCCACCCAAGACTCTGTCCACTCTCCCACATTTGCAGGGCTGTGGAGAAGTGGTAGATTTTCTTGGGGCGGCAGGAGCCCACATCAGGGGCACCATAGGGGTCCTAAAGATTGCTGCTGTCCTTTGTTGTGGATGCTCCAAGGTCAGGGGCTAGACTCCCACTCCCCCCACCTCTGCACCCTGGTCGGTCGCCATAGGGGAGGACTAACGGGAGAAGGAAGGAGAGTCGGCGGGCCTTCTCAGCTCCCTTTGCTGAGCAGCCTGAAGCAGGACCTAGAGCCAGGGCTGCGCTTGCCTTGCTGCAGTGTGGTCCTGTCCCGTGAAGAAAGAGGAAGGAAGACCCAGAATAGAAATCCTCAAATCTCTGACCAGCTCTGGTGAATCAGAACCAACCTGAAGTCCCAGAGCCGAAGTGGACAGTGGTGTGCTCTGCACAGGGTGGGTGCTGCCACCTGTGGTTGTCCTGATGGACTTCCTTCTCGGTGACACCTTTAGCACCCCACTGGTGCAGAGAAGCCGTCTGTGCTGTGACTCGGGCCTGTTCCCGGGGGAGCTGCAGTACTTCCTTTGGGCTGGGAGCTGCACACCTAGGGCTGCTGCCCCTCAAACACCATCAACAACGATTCACCAAGTGATTGTTAGAGATTATGACCATTTCACTTATTTGCCCTGCTTCACTCTAGAAAGGATTGGAATTGGCTTACAAAACACATACAATACCAGAGGACAAACTAGATACCAGAAAAAATCAGGGCAAAGGGAACAAATAAAGGTAAGAAAATAAGATAAGGCCAGGGTCACATATAACTGCTGGAAATCCAGATTTGGCTTTGAACTTCTTAGCCACCAGCACCAAAGAGGACAGTTGCCCTGGACAAGAATCCAGGACCCAGGTGAGGTCCAGAGAGGCCAGCGGCTTACTGTGCAGGAGGAGCCTTCCTGGGGAATGCTGGGCTCTCTGTCCCGGACGCATCCTGCAGTCCATAGCCTTGCTCTTGGCCGGCCTGGCACGAGTCCAGGAGTGGACGGACGCCATGGCTCTTCCACTCCCTCCATGCTGATCAGCCATTCTTAAACATGTTACAGAGACTCTGAAAGTTTCTGTGTGCAACCTTTCTTTCATATGTGTGTTTGGGAAGGCCCTGGAGACGGTCGGCCCTCCTAGACGCTCCAGGGAAGCTGGTTCTCTACAGCACAGGAAACTCAGGGATAAGTAAGAGTCTCTGTGGCCCCAGCCCTGCCAGCCAGACGGTGGGAGTGGAGTGGGAGCATGTACACATGGAAGAGAACACCTGCATAAGAATTCGGCATCTGAGTAAG